TTATCTTAAGAAAATTAGAAAACTTAAAGTATACTTAATGTAATGTGAAAGAAACATTACTTACTTTTTTATCAGAAAATTTTTTAAGAGAAACATTTCCAACCGTACTTGCTTTTGGGCGTGTTTGAGTAACATAACTGATGTACGTCAATGTAGCGACAACTTACGTCAGGGGGAATGAATTTATTGAATGGTAGAACAGAAGTGACATAATTTGCGCTAGTTTAAAGTAAATAATATTTGCTGTTTGTCTCACACAGAAAAAGGAAAAATTGATTATATTTTTTTAAAAAATTGAAAAGAAAAAGAAAAATTTTGAAAATGCGACGATATTCAATCCGAAAACTTGACACGTGTTGTTACGTTGTTAACTGAAGAGATGCAAAGAAATTTCTGAAGTAAAAAAATGTCTTTTATCAAGGGAAACAACTCTACCTCACGTGACAGTATTTCAAATCTGTGCAACCATACTTTTGTAATATCTAATACAATTTTGGAATATTAATAAATTATTTTAAAAATATATTTGCATTGCAGATTTTAATAAGCTTTTAAATTTATGATCTTTAAAAAGTAGATAAAATAATAAGAGCATTTCCATTGAGTTGCAGTAAGAAACTTAATTTTAAAATATGTAACAACTTTTTATCATATAAAATTGAAAAAAAAAAATGTAAAAATTAATTTTTCATAAAAAAAATATTTCGGATTCAGATAAAAATTACCGTAATATATGTTATTCAGAAAATCCATTAAAAGTATTTTTTAATTAAATATTATCTTAGTTTTATTAAAGTTTGTATTTTTAGAATTGAGCTAAAAGTTTGGATAATTTTGCACACTTTTTTACCAAATAAATCGATGGTTTATATTCTTCAGCCTTGATTTTCTGTTTTAGGTCAAGCCTACGTTACATCGGGGTGGCTTCCTGTGGTGCCCTCCCCTTGGTTAGGTTAGACAAGCCTAGTTAATGCGAGTAAGTGTTGTTCCCGGCCTGCCCCCGGCCACATCTTTAGTTATGATCCAGCCTGAGATTCCCAACCTCCTCAGTTTGTTTTTTTGATCCCCCACTTTCTATCTCGACTGGGTCAGCTTTATACTTCCCCATGCCCGTATGATTTTTTATCACCTTTCCCACTCCCTTAGCGAGAGAGCTGCTTGATTTTGTTCCAATGGGCAGAATACAGTGGTCTCCCTGCATTTTGAGGGTTGGAAGGGCCCTACTAACATCAGTTAACGTTTTATTTTCATTTATGTTAATATTTTAGTTTGTTATTGGGTTCACATCCCACCCCCATCTCATTTTTTCATCTTAGAATTTTTGTACATATGTGTTAGGATCATTATGACATGGGGCGCGTTTTGTAGGTCTCCCTAGAGTGGATGTGGTATTATGGTGCAAGGAGGATTGATTGATGACGGACGAGTTCTTATGGTGAATGAGTAAATTGTAATGTCTGAATGGGTCGTGAATCAAATTAGCTAGGTATAAGATAGTTAGTGAAGACCAGCCTTACCCCCTCCCCCTTTTCGGCCTTGTGCCACAATTTTGTATTTTTACAAAATAAATCCCGGTTTATATTCTTCAGAGTCTTGTGCATTTAATATTAAAAAAATAATATAGTCACACCTAAAATTTTTCAATTTTTTTATAAAATTAAGTAGCGGGGTGTGGGTAACAGATGTAAAAAAATACGTCTACCATGAATTTCGGAAAAACAAATATTTCTAAAATAATTTCATTTGTGAATAAGTCCTGAAGGTTTCATTAAAATCTGACAATTATTTGATTTTGTAAGATTTTCCAAATAAATGCTTTTCAACTGAATAAACAACTAATGCTAAAAATGTGACCGCTGATCTAAAAAGAAAAAAAAAAAGAAAAAGATTTTCAACCTAAATTTAAAACATGATGGAAAGGAAAAAACTTTTTTTTAAATATCTTGGTCTATTAATAAAATAAACTTTTTCTCGATAAAACTTTGTTTTTATTAAGTTTGGGGCCTTATTTCTTCATGCCATGCAATTATTTTGGCGAAAAGTTGGACAAACGTAAATCTTGTTTTACGACAGCGGCGAACTAGAAAAGATTTATTTTGCGCTTTTTCCGAGGAAAACATTCATTTGGAAATTCTTGCAAAATTTAAATAATTTTCGGTTTTAATGAAACTTTTAGAACCTATTCAAAAATGAATGAAATTATTTTTGAATTTTTTTTTTTAAGAAAATCTTGATAAAAAATATTTTTTTATTAGTTAAAAACAAGACTCTTTGGATAAAGTAAATCAATTTTTTTTTTTTGTAAAACAGTTACCCGTTTGATCGAAAATCTGCTCTGAATTGTAAAATAGAAAATGCAATAAAACTTTGATATTATTTAATAAAAAAAGCTTTGAATTAATTTTGTAATTAAGTTATATTAAGGACACTGTTGCCTGAAGAAATCAAATTTTTTCAATGAATAATGAATTTTTACAAGAATTTTTTTTCAATTTTTTAAAATTTTAATGATAATAGTTCAAACATTCTTTAAAATTCTTCATTGCTTTCAAGAATTCAATTTGGTGATATCGTTAAGTGAAAAGTAAATTTACGAATCAAAATTTGAAAAGCTCTTAACAGTCGTTTGAATCCGAATATTTTAAAAATAATTTTTAGTGAAAAAAACGTTCCTATGGGAGTCTATACATGACATAATCCTTTAAATGTCACGTGATTTTAGAGTCGTCTGCAATTATTTCACTTTTAATTCTGTTGTTTCATCATTAATGTCTTTTCAAAAAAAGGTTTTACTTTTACTTAATTGGTATTTCACTAAATATTTTTATTTTATTTATTTATTCTAGTTTGGGTCATACTTTAATTAATTTTTTGTTTAAGTTACTAAATATAAGAACATAGAAACAAAATGCAAATTTCATAAAGTTTCTTAAAAACTTAATTAAAAGTCAAGAAAATATTAAATAATTGCTGAAAAAATATTAATTTGTAAAAATTACTCGGTAGCTAAAAACTAAAAAAAAATGACTTCACTTAGTTTTCGTAAATATGTCATTTCTGGTCATCCATAAAAGCTATCTTGTCCTGGATAAGACGATAAACTACGATTAGGTTTTGAGGAGTGTAGAACCACCTCTTAATAGCTGGTGTTCCCGGATCCGCCCTGGTCTGGGGTGGTGGCACCTGTTGGGGTCCCAGCTATGAGCAGAAGGTTAACCACGGAACTCAGGTAAAACAAAATGGCCGCTTTTAAGAGAATTAAAAAAAAAAACAAAAAAAACAAAGCAATTATTTAACATTGAAGAAAAAGAAAACAAATCTAACTAAAATAAAAAATAAATAAAACCTAATTAAAATTGAATTTTTACATGTGTACAATCTTAAATTAATATATTTAAAACATAAATATTAATAAGGCCCAGGGCAAAACTGCCAATTATTTTCTCGGCTTCTTCATAGGAAAGTAAGAAAAAATAATTGAATGAAGCAAACGATCTTAAATTATAGAAAATACAAGACCAAAATATAAATTTCCGAAAAAAAATCTTTATTTTAACACAAAAACAATTTCATGCATATTGTTCCATATGCTAAAAATACAGCAACAAAACAATAAAAAATACAAAAGGATTTATTACTTATATAAATAATTTTGTCAGTTCAAAGAAAGTCTTATTCTTTTTAAACTGACAACTTAAAACTTTTAAAGAGAATTTCTTCAAATACATTTTTAACTTCTTTTTTTCTTCCAAATTCCTTTTTCTTGCATAATGATTCTTGTAAAAAGAGGATAGACTCTTCTTGTTCAAGAAGAATTATCTAATTGGAGGCAGAGTGACATTTCTGATACGATTTTCAATTCAGTGGCTGATCATGCTGTTCCACATCAATGATGAAATGCCAGAAAAAAATTAAAAATAAAAGACGCATGTAAATCATAACAATTCTTGGTAGGAAGGCTGACTCTTGTTTAAGTACAATTATCTAATCAATACTAATTATACTTGAGCTGGCTAGCTATAGCCGTAAGTTCTATGCTAACAGTTTCTTCTCACACTTCTCGCCTGTGGAACTTCCTTCAAGCTCCACGTTTTCCAGGCAACTTTAATCTGCAAAAATTTAAATTCAATGTCAAACGCTATCAACCGTCTACTTGTTTACTCTTTCCTCTTCCCACTCATTATTAATGTTTCTGTTCCTAATATCCTTGCAAATGCACTGACAACCATTGATGGTCGGAGAAATTGTGGTAACAAACAAAAATTCTTTCAAAATCAAACGTTTTTCTTACAAAGCCATTTTTTGAAACAAATATTTCATTGACTCTTATTGTTTAAAAACATTGAAAACTTTCAGAAAAATTCCCAGTCAAAAATTTATTCACATGAAAAAAAAACTGAAAATAAATTTTATTTGCAAAAATTAAAAACAATATAAAAATTTCTTGTCTAAAGTAAAATTTTATATTTTAATTAATTTTGAAAATTTTCATTAGTAAATTTCGGTCGTTTTCAAAACAAACAAACAATTTTTTTGAAGTAACAAAAATCTTCGGGAGATTTTCAGATTTTTGGGAAAATTTATACAAAACATTTTTTGGCAACACAGAAAAAATTCCTTCTTCTGTACAAAAGAAAAAAAATCCAAATTTATTGCCGCGAAAATCGCAAATTTCTTCTTCAGTTTTCACTGTTTGAAGAATTTGTCCATTTTGATTAAAAACAAAGATTTCCGACAATTCTTCTATTGTTCCCCACAAATTCCCAGTTGTGGGATCGGCACGAAGGAGGGGGTCATAATAAGGACACGACCCCGGCAAACCCCCAATCTGAATTGTTTTTATTTTCTCCCCGTTTTTCGAAAAACAATCAATTTCATTGAAATAAAAATCACAAGCGAAAATCTGTTCGTCCATTTGACACAAAGAAGAAAATGGCTTGTTTGTGTTAATAATTTTTTCTTTTTCTAAAAACGGTGGACTTTTTTTTCGTGTCAAAAACAAAAGTCTTCCTCCCCGGTCTCTCACACAACCACAAACAACCAAAGTGTCTTCTTCAGATAAGCAACACATGTCCCGGGGATAGAATTTCTCCCCTGTGTCTCTGAAGAAAATTTGGTCAACGACTTCTCCCGATTCGTTAAATTCCACGATCAATCTGTCGTCCCAATCGGCAATAAAAACATGACTGTCATCGTCACTGACGACAATAGAAAAAATAACCAGGTTCGATCCCGGTAGATGGCATTCTCTCTCCAGCTCCAAATTTCTGGGAGGCCATGTCTCTACCGTCAAGTCGGCTACCACTTTTTTCAGTTGATTTAATGATCGATGGCACCATTCGGGAAAGGTCACAACCAAATGACCTTTCTCGACTGGAATAAGTGATTCGTAGAGCCGTGATGAAAGCTTCGCTCCCACCGTTTGCATATGACGAACAGAGTTCTCATCATCAGCATCGGCATTTAAATGGCGCCACTTTTCCACCTCCTCCAAAAGGTTTTCTTTCTCTTTGATGGAAAGGCGCAATTTACTCTGCTCTCTGATTGTCTTTTTCTTCATGTTCTCGCACAGCTCTCCCGCCTTCAATCGTGCCTCTTCTATAAATGCATCAAATTCCTGCTGGAGATTTGAGCATTTTGAATTGCAATCTGTTGACAGTTGGTCAATGGACTGAATTGTCTGTTCATTCATTTCACGGAGCCGCCATTCAAAGTCTTCGAGTTCTTTATCCAGGCTAAGAAGCTCCTTTTTCACTTTCAAGACCTCCCCCTCCTCTCTCAAGGGAAATGAAGAAGCCATTTATAGATTGAAGGCAAAAGCAATCTGGAGAAGAAAAAAAGAAATAAATAAAAAACTGTCACTGAATAAAATAAAAAAATCATTTTAAAACAATTGTAACTGAATATAAATAAAAAAAAAAATAAAATAAAATCAATTTAGAATTAAAAAAATAATCATTTCTCACAAAAATTGAGACTGAAAAAAATTACTAAAAAATGTCACTGAATAAAGCAAAAAGTCATGTCTAAAAATAATTGTGACTGAAAAAAAAAAATCTAAAAAAAATTTACAGAATAAAAAATCTTTTAAGAAAAATTGTCTGAATAAAAAAAATCATTTATTTTCTAAAAAAAAAAAGTCAATGAATAAAAAATTCATTTCAAAAAACAATATCACCGATTAAAATAAAAAAAATCATGGTCACTGAATAAGATATCATTTCAAAATAAATTGACTGAATAAAAAATATTTCTAAGACTTTTTCACTGAATAAATGAAAAAAAAAAAATAAAAGATTTCTAAAAAAGTTGACATTCAAAAAAAAAAAAAAAAATTTCTAGTGACCGAATAAAAAAAATAATTTCTAAAAAAAATTGACTGAATAAAATAAAAAAAATTCATTTCTAAAACGATCGTGACTGTCTAAAAAATCATGTAAAATTGTAACTAAATTTAAAAAAATCATTCCTAAAAAAAAAAAAATTCTGACTGAATAAACTAAAAAATCATTTTATAGAATAAAAAATAAAACATTTCTAAAAAAAAATTGAAATTGAATAAAAAAAATCATTCTTAAAAAATTGTCAGTGAATAAAAAAAATCTTAAAAAAATATTCTGACTGAATAAAAAGATCATTTCAACAACAGAAAAAAACCCTTTATTTCGATCGCTGGGGTAGACTGTTCTAGTTCCACGTGCCATGTTTGATGGATGTCAGTTATCAGTTATCTCCTGCTAATTTTACCCTCTGAAAGTTCTCCACTGCCTTAACCAGGAATTGAACTCACCTTCTTTGGGTCTGTCACTGGATCTAACCAACGCCTTTATCCACTGTGCCATGTGTCCTCGAGGAACTAGAACAGTCTACCCCAGCGATCGAAATAAAGGGTTCAGTTCGAAATTATTCCAACCACCTGAAGAAGGCCGGAGCGTACAACGGCCGAAACGTTGTGACAAATATGGCGACAAAGATGAGGACAATAGTCCGACTAATGTAAATACTGTACATAATACCTCATCTCAGAAATATAGACAGACAACAAAAAAAAAATTCACTGAATAAACTAAAAAAAAATCATTCCTAAAAAAAATGAAAATGATTTTAAAAACAATCATTTCTAAAAAAAATATTTTCTGAATAAAAAAATTCATAAAAAAATTGTAACTATATAAAAATAATCATTACTAAAAGGATTATGACTATAAAAAATTTTTCTAAAAAAATTGTCATTTCTAAAATAAGAATTGTCTGAATTAAAAAATCATATCTAAAAAAAATTGACTGAATAAAAACATCTTTTCTAATTAAAAAAAATAAGAAAAATTGTGTCATAAATAATCATTTCTAAAAAAAATTGTAAATGAATAAAAATAACCATTTAGAAAAAACAATATATATATATATATATATATATATAAGGGAGAGAAAAAAATGGTGATAAGAAAAAGTTTGTTTCTAAATATGAGTTCGGCCAAAAAACAAAAAAAATAAGGGCAGGAATTCTCATTGTTTTGATAAAAAAATATTTGTGAAAGTCCGATTATTTGAATATCGATATAAAAATTCTGACTTACAATTGATTTTGTTTCGATTTCACTTGAATGAAATGAGTTTTTCTTGAAATTTGGGAAAGGAAAAAATGACGTCTTCTTCTTCGTGTTGCTTCTCGTGAAGTGCTGGGAAAGCGCTATGACGTCATAGGATTTTAAGGTATTTCATTGGACGAGAATACTCACACCACTAAACTAAAGGGCGTTTCCTAAGATAACAAAGGAGGTGGAAGTATGGAGGAGAAAATGAAGGGGAGGAAGGAAGAATGAGAGAGGGAGAAGAAAGGGTGAGAAATGTGAGGAGAAAAAGGTAAAGTTTTAAGAAAAAGTGCGGATTCTTCTTTTCTTTTCAAATCGCTGACTTCATTCGAACGGAAAAAAAACTTTTAAATAAATAAACTTCAAAAATGATAAATGTTAATAAAATCGAATTTAATTCCATCAAATATCATATGTAAATAAAAAGAAAATGTTGGAATTTAAAAGTTTATTGATCCATGTTTTATTTGTTGGAATCGATTTAGTTTCTTTTTTGGAAATCGAAAGAAAAGATCAATAAATTATGTAAAACACTTGAAGATAAATTCGGAAAGATTTGTTTAATGTTAAATTTACATTGTAATAATAAATAGATGACAAAAGTGAAATAAAATGAATTCAACTCAATGGAAATCCAAGAAAACGTAATTCATTGTAAGTAGAATGAAAATGTCGATTAAAAATACAATTGAAATTCGCACGTATATTCTTGTTTCATTTTAATGAATTTCATTTTAACTTCAGTTTTTATTGAAAAAAAAAATCCTTACATTTGCCTTGATAAGAGTTCCATCAAAGGGAGAAATACGTCGGTAATGAAAAATTTTCCTTTTTTTCTTTATTCATATTAATGACGTAATAAATAGATAATTAATTATAGTCAAGATAATTTAATTTTTAATTCATAGAAGCTAAACTCCAGAATATATTTAATAGGAATAAAAATTCGAATTATTATTTATTTATTTATTTATTTATTTTTCAAATTAAAAAGATTAAAAAAAAAGAATTTCGAACGCAATTTCATGAGGGCGGAAAAGACAAACAAAGTGAAACTAGTTTTTGTCGGTCAAATTCCGAGAAATCAAAAATGTAGGTCAATTGTTCCGCTAGCTACACACAAATAATGAAAGCTAGAATTCATTTGAAAACACAAATTTCGATGACTCATATTTTTAAGGTGTGTGTGTGTGTGTGTGCTGGTATGTAGAAAAACAGGAAAGAACACGTTAAATAATTCGGAGTTCTTTAATATAAATAATCCGGAGTTCTTTAATGTTTTTATTTTTATTTTAAAAAACAGTGCTCCATACAGAAGTAGAACTTAAATTATAATTATTTTTTAAATTATTTTTAAAAATTATTTTTTCCCTGCGTAGAAATCATATTTTTTAAAAAATAATTATATATATATATATATATATATATATATATATATATATATATATATATATATATATATATATATATATATTTGTATAATATAGGTCGCTATTTTAATTTTTATTAAAGTACAACAATAACAAGGTTCAAGAGCCTGTCAAGGTAGAGGGTTACTGAATGAGGTGCGTGATACGAATGTCACAGGAGTAAGTAAGAAGTGAAGATGAACAGAAAATTAAATTTCTTTCAATATCAAGAGAAATCATTCTTGACAGAAAACATTCATCGTCGTATTTAAGGTGAATTATCATTACGAAAAAGACCCGTCAAAATTTCACGGTTTTGGTATTTCCATTTTTTGATAAATCTTAATTCTTCAGTTAATAATTAAATAAGCGCATGCCGAGTTCTATGACAATAAAATATCCATAGACCCCCACCTCCGTTAAATATTTGAGCTTTAACAACTTCAATAAAAAAATATTGAAATTGAATGGATGCTGGTGGTTATTTTAAGAAGTAAGTACAAATTAAAAATTTTGAAATTGACAATTTTGTGGAGGTTGTGTAAATGGATTAAATTATATTGATGAAAAATTGTTGAGTAAATTAGGCTGTGTGATGAAATTAACAATTTACTCTTACAGCAAAGACGTTTCATATTTTATTGCTAACTTTGGTCACGTGTTAGGCTCACAGAGGCTTCAAAGATTTCGGAATTATTTTTTGGTCAGGTCAAAAACTAGGACGATGTTATTAAATATTAAGTGACCAAAAATATTTATTAAGTTGAATAAGCTCTGTGATCCACTTTTTGTACAAAAATTGATGTTGATAAAAAAAGGTGATAGCATGATGCTAAAACTTTTTTTATTTCACTCAAACGATATTTATTGTACATACATACAATTATGGCACAAGGCCGAAAAGGGGGGATGGGTTGAGGCTTGTCTTCACTATCTTATCTCAAACAGCCGTGAAACATTTGTATCTTCTTTCTTTCATTCTTTCTTTCATTTTCTCACAGCGTCTTTTGTTGACTACGCAATCAAAACAGAATCGTTCATTATTTATGAGGTATTAGCAGGAGACGTTAAACACTTCTGTCTTCCCTTCTTTGTTTCTTTCTTTGTTTCTTTGTTTCTTTCTTTCTTTCTTATTTTTTCTACACAAATCCTCATCTTACCAACATTTCTATAAATAATAATTTAAAAACATTTCAGAAGACGATGTTATTTTATTTATGGTATCAAGATTTTTGGTGATTGCCTTTCTCGGTTTGCATCGTTCGATACTCTGTGTTTTCACGTGCTCGGGATCCCCACATTCTGCCACAGTGGAACGGCAATAAAATCCAGTTGCTTCTCTGCCTTTTGGCTGTGATCAAAGTGTAGCGTAGTATCTACTATCTCTCAATTTTGTCTCTTTCTTTAGACAGACTGCAACTCGGTTGTGTCTCGGCCTGCATGTCAATAGGACTGAATAATCATAATAAAAACAATGATACTCGAGTCTGTAATAAATATTTTCACTATTTCCATTGTTAGGATTGCTGTCCTCATCTTTGTTGTCATATTCATGACGT